ACTAGCACCTGAAGAAGGAGCGAGGCTCCAAAAGCTTGTGTGTTCAAATAAACCTGTTGGACTATAACCTGGTGTTGTGTGATTTCTGACCCTGTTTTTTTTGGTTAAGTAAGACTACATTCAGCTGGTTACATTCTTATCCATCAATCCAGAGTTAGAGAACCACCTGCAATGGCTTCTCCTCCCAGTCATGCAATGTTATCTCTAGTGTCTCCCAACCTTCTATCCTTGGCTCCCTCCGAATTCTCATCTATATACTGTTGCTTAATGATAGGGGGATACAGGTAGAAGGTTATTGTGAATAGTCAGTGGCAATGGTGGAGCAGATAGGTGAGTCAGAAGATGGACAGGTTGGGGTAGGAGAGATTTTGAAGCTGGTGAAGTCAATATTCAGGCCATTGGGCTGTAAGCTCCCGAGGTGAAATATGAGGGGTTGTTCCTCCAGTTTACGTTTGGCTCACTCTGATAGTGGAGGCGGCCAAGGATTGATATGTCACCGTGGGTGTGGGAGGGGATGTCAAAGTGGATGGCAACCAGAAGGTCAGGTTGGTTGGAGCATGCAGGGCGGAGATGCTCAGCAAAATGGTCCCCAAGTCTGCTTTTGATCTCCCCGATATAGAAGAAATCACATCGGGAGCAATGGATACAGTAGATGAGGTTAGATGAAGTGCAGGCGAATCTCTGCCAGATCTGGAAGGATTGTTTGGGGTCTTGGATGGAGGTGAGACGAGAGGTGTAAAGGCAAGTGTAGCACCTCCTGCAGTTGCAGGGAAAGCTACTGGAAGTGGTGGAGAGGTTGGTGGGGAGTGTGGAGCTGATGATGGAGTCGCGGAGTGATCAGTCCCTGCAGAAAGGGGACAGGGGTGGGGAGGGAAATATCTTTTTGGTAGTGGGGTCTGATTGTAGATGGCAGAAATGTTGGAGGATGATGCGTTGTATTCGGAGGTTGGTGGGGTCATATGTGAGGATTAAGGGGACTCTTATCCTTATTGTTGTTGGGGGGAGAGGGTTTGAGGGCAGAAGTGCGGGAAATGGGGGAGATGCGGTTGAGGGCATCGTTTATTACAGAGTAGGGGAAACTATGGTCCCTGAAGTAGGAGGATATCTGGGAAGTCCTAGAGTACAATACCTCATCCTGGGAGTAAATGCGGTGTATTTTTCCTGGCGCGTCGGAGGCTGAGGGGTGACCTTATCGAAGGGGCATGAATAGGGTGAATAGCCAAGGTCTTTTCTCCACGAAAGGGAGTCCGAAACTAGAGGGGATAGGTTTAAAGTGACGGGGAAAGATTTAAAAGGGACCGAAGGGGCAACGTTTTCATGCAGAAGGTTGTGTGCAAATGGAATGAGCTGCCTGAAGAAGTGGTGGAGGCTGGTACAATTACAACATTTAAAATGCATCTGGATGGTACATGCAAAACAAGCGTTTAGAAGGATATGGGCCAAATGCTGGCAAATGGGACTGGATTAATTTAGAATATCTGGTTGTCATGGACGAGTTAGACCGACAGGTCTGTTTCCATGCTGTACATCTCTATGACTCTATAGCATTGTCTTGCACTTTGGAATGTACCAGTGTGCAACATTCACTCATGAACAACTTTTTGCACTTGCAGGCCAGCCAAAAAGCCTAAAAAAACTCGGAGTTGGTGGTCCTCTATCCACAGTTGATGCTTATGTCAGTGTACCAACAATTGGAGAGTATTGTAATATTGAGGCAACAACGCATTCCTCTGTTTGGCTTTGCCTAGCAATAAGGGCAAGACTTGATGTGAGATTTTCAATAGGTCACGCAGAACAGTTCAAGGGTGACTGAACAGTCAAAGTTGGTCAGAACAGAAGAGGGGTGCTGAAGGAGGAAGTGGTTTCAGGCATATAAACAATGAACAAAAGTAAAGTTGCTGGAAAAGCTCAACAGGTCTGGCAGCATCTGTGAAGAAAAAAATCAGAGTTAACATTTCGGAAAGGAAGGGTCACCGGGTCTGAAATGTTAATTCTGATTTTTTCTTCACAGATGTTGCCAGACCTGCTGAGCTTTTCCAGCAACTTCTGTTTTCATTCCTGATTTACAGCATCTGCAGTTCTTTCAGTTTTTATTCAGGTAGATAAATGTTGTTAACATACTCAATGCAGATAGGACTCATAAGTCCTAGGTGCCTTGGTGAATTGGAAGACTTTAAATCTATTTTTTCCTGGGACTGTCGACTAAATAATGGGAAGAAGTACTGCTTTAAATCAAGTAAACTATGTCAGATGATGTTGCAGTTTTAAGAACATTTTGGAACTCATAAATTGTATCCACAAAGTCACCTTCTTCAAACAGTTGGGGAGAATGCTGGACACGTTGACACCTTAGATCTTTGTTCAGGGCTGCTTTGCTTTTGACTGGATTTCAATCAAGACCAGTTCTGTGTGTTCAGCAGAGCTCAACACAGTAACAACTATTCAAAAAATGGAAAGAACCGCGGGTGCTGGAAATCTGAAACAAAAACAGAAATTGTTTGAAAATCTCAGTAGGTCTGGCAGCATCTGTGGAAAGAAATCAGAGTTAACATTTTGGGTCCAGTGAGCCTTCTTCCAAACTTCCGAATTTTTTTTTAAGTTTTACATTATATTGTATATTATTTATACCTTATGTATTTCAAGAAGATCACCTCTCATTTTTAAATGCCAATTGGCATAGGCCCAACCTGCTCAACATTTCATTCATAAGTTAAACTCTGCAGCCCAGGAATGATTCAAGTTAATTTTCTCTGTGAATGAAAATCTCTTTTTCAAGTAATGAAACCACAACTTTAGGCTTCTTGTGGGGAAGTGGTAGTGTCCCTGTCTTTGATCTAGGAGGCCTAGGTTCAAGTCCCACCTGCTCCAGAGGTGTGTAGTAATATCTCTGAACAGGTTGATTAGAAAATAAACAGATCAAAACTTTATTCAGCATTCCAGGAGTAGTATAATCATAGGCCCTGTACGGGTGGAGTAAAACTACCCTATTTTTATATTCCATTCACACAACCATACAGTGTTTCTTTCAATTTAACATCCTTACGCAGCCAAGAATAACATATCCTTCTCAAAGAACTTTCTCATTGCTATAAGTATTTGTTGAGACTTAATAATTACCTCCTTAGAAGTCTATTACACAATTTCTACCTTTTGATCTAATGTTGAGTTCATTTTAGCCAACTGTCTTCATTATCTCATAATCACCTTTATTTAGGTTTAAATAAATCCTACTTCTCACATTTGAATCCTACTTCTCACATTTAAGCCTAATGGGAAATTCAATCATGTTATGATTGCTATCACCTAGAGGCACCTTTACTATGGAGGTTATTAATTATTTCTGAGGAAGGGTTACTGGACCTGAAACGTTAACTGATTTCTGTCCACAGATGTTGCCAGACCTGCTGAGCTTTACCAGCAATTTCTGTTTTTATTTCTGATTTACAGCATCTGCAGTTTGCTTGGTTTTTATTAATTATTTGTCTCATTGAACATTATCAGATGTTGAATAGTCCAATCCACACCTGTTTGGACTAGCACATTCTGCTCTAAGAAATTGCCCAGATAGCCTGCAAATGGGTTCATAGCATGTATCTTTCCCCATCTGATTCACCCAAACTGCATAAGATTTAAGGCATGCAGGAAAAATCTGACAGGGAGGACATTTCTCACCAATAGCCAAGTTACATCTTGATGCTTGTTTGTAAATGTAATATCAAGGAACCATCCAACAGGACCCACCATCATCTTCTTTTCCAAGAGGACATCTAGTGCATTAGATGCAGATGATTGCCTGTTGGACTGGTCAAAGATCTTTATGTGCATGAACTTTACCGTGAGGGGCAGGTGGTACAACACAGTCCAAAGTAGATGCAGCATTCTATGACAATGTGGACAGAGCCATCCTCTGTAACACTGGGGAAAGGTAGGACCTAAGCACATTGCTTGTGTACTGAAGGTATATGCACAGCTTGATGCAGCCACACAGAGAGCTTGTCTATCTGATGACTGAGATAGTAGGAACTGCAGATGCTGGAGAATCTGAGATAACAATGCGTAGAGCTGGATGAACACAGCAGGCCAAGCAGCATCAGAGGAGCAGGAAGGCTGACATTTTGGGCCTAGACCCTTCTTCAGAAAAATGAAATCAGGTAGACAGTTGTTTGGTCAGTTCTTTCTTCCTTTGTCTAGAGATTTCTACATCATGTTCCAGTTTTTAACCTGCAGATAAAGCAGAAGATGGCTCATGTGATCGCCACTGTAATGGAGTGAGGAATTTGCCAGACCTACAGCAGATACAACAACGCTGAAAGAACCTGAGAAAGCTCTGATGCATGATGGAGAGGGAGTGGTGCTCCCACATGCTCATTTTCTGCGTCACCCATGTCTACTCACTCCTCCAAATTTTAGTACAAGCTTCAGGCTCTCTGAGCCATATCTCCAGCACCTTCAGGTAATCTGACTTGATGACGAAGAGAACAGGTCAGCCCAATTCTCAAGACAGCACTGCCTTGCTCTGGCCATAACTTATTCTGGCGAGCAAGGCCATTTGAAATGGTCACAGATGCATATCAATCTACACACCGACAGTGGATCTAAGCAGAAGGTGGTAATGTTATCCGTATTGGAAGACTTTGACCTGCGACACCCGTCTTCGCTGCCTGGGACTACGTTTCCATTCTTCCCGAGGGCTCAGAAAAGGGTTCAATACAGCACACGAAAAAGAGAAAGCAGCCCTGGCTGTAAATTGGATCAGAAATCTTTCTAAAGCCATTCACCTCCCAGCACCGCAGCACTCCCTCTGCACGGGCATGGTTAACCCTGAATTCTGTGAAATGGGACATTGAATCCATAATGTTGTGCTGCAGAAAGGTCGAATGCTGCATGAGTCACTTACATCCAGACAGGTACCTTTTCTTTTGCGGACTGACCGATTGCAGCTCCGCCTTTTAGTTTGCCTTGAAAGTCAGTTCTGGGTTAGGAGGCGGACACTTTTTGAGTGTTGGGAGGAGCCCAGCCTGTGGCAGGCTGTTTATAAACAGTAGGTGGGACGCAAAGCGGAGTTCACATCGGGAACCAAGCTGACACTGATACCGGCACCAGGAAAGGTCCCAGGCTGATTCGCGGGGCGCAGACGAAGAAAACCTGCTCTTACTGTACAAATACCGGGGTCTCTAGAGAAAGGGCAAGAAAAATAAGAGGGGAAAATGGCCAGTTACACTGTCCGACCAGCTACACCCCGGGACTGCGCCGATATCCTCCGCCTCATCAGGGTGAGCTCCCGTGTTGATCAGAACTATTGCAATCCACGGGGCGGCGTCCCGGCCCGTCCAGTCTGTGCTCGATCTCTAAGCAGCAGTCGTCTTCCCTCTATGCTTTCCCCTCTGACCCTGCAATCCTTTCTGCAGCTCGGGAAGCGTCTAAAGCTCTTTTGAAAACATGGAATGAATCCGCCTCCAACTCCCCCGGGAGTTTGGTGGTGGGGTGGAGTCACTTGCCTGCAGCTTCCGCTTCCACGGCGTGGATCCTAAGGGCACACTGAGTATAAGCCCTCCCTCATGTGGTCTCGGTTCACTTTAACTAGGTGGACCCATCGAGTCTCCTCTGCCATCCAATGAGACCATGGCTGATCATCATCACCTCCACTTGCCTGCCTTGTCCCCGTAACCCTTGATTCCCTCGCTGATTGTAAATGCCTGTTTCAGCCTTGAATATACTTAATGATCCAGCCTCCTCTGGCAAAGAATTTCACAGATTCACTATGCTTCAGAGGGGAAAAAAAAAGTCTTCTTTGTCAGTTTTCATTAGACAATACATTTTGAGATCATGCCATCTGGTCCTAGACTCTCCCATGGGCTGGGTGAGTGGTGCAACAATGTCTCTTCAACTACCTTGGCAAGTCATCTCTGAATCTAGCTTGTCAATAAGGTGTCCACTCATTCTTCTAAACTCATGAGTATGGGCCCAACCTGTTCTCATTTAAAAAAAAGGAATCAATGCAGTGCACAGTCTCTTAAGTGTTTCCAATGCCAGTATATCTTTCCTTGGATAATGGGCCAAACTATTCACTGTATTGCGGGAGTGTCTAACTGTAGTGTCTTTAGCACAACTTCCCTATTTTTATATTCCATTCTCTTTGAAGTAAAGGCTGGCAGTCCATTTTCCTTTCCTATTACCTACAGATGTGAGCTTTTTGTGATCCATGTTTGGTTGCCCAAATTCTTCTGTGCTGCAGCTATCTGCAGTCTTTCCCCATTTAGGTAATATTCAGCTATCTTATTCTTCCTGCCAAAGTGCAAACCCTCACATTTTCCTCCATTATATTGTATCTATTCAGCCTGCTTTGTCCCACTGTAGATTCTGTGTCTTCGTCACTACTTGCCTTCCTGCCTAATTTTGTGTCATCTGCAAACTTGGTGATGGAGCATTCACTTCAGTCATCAAGTCATTGATATAACAAGGTGTAGAGCTGGATGAACACAGCAGACCAAGCAGCATCAGAGGAGCAGGAAGGCTGACGTTTCGGGCCTAGACCCTTTCTGAAGAAGGGTCTAGGCCCGAAATGTCAGCCTTCCTGCTCCTCTGATGCTGCTTGGTCTGCTGTGTTCATCCAGCTCTACACCTTGTTATCTCAGATTCTCCAGCATCTGCAGTTCCTACTGTCTCTGAAGTCATTGATATATATTGCAAATAATTGTAGCGCCAGCACTGATCACTGTGATGCTCCATTACTTACAGGTTCCCATTCTGACAATGCCTCCTTTATCTCAATTCTCAGTCTTCTGTTAGTGAGCCAAGTATGTATCCGTGATAATAATCTACCTCAACAGCCCCAAGCCTCAGACAAGGTTCTGCATGGTAGACTAATTAGCAAAGTTAGTCTGCATGGGATTCAGGGTGATCTTGCAAATTGGATACAAAATTTGGCTTAACAGCAAGAGACAGAGAGTGATGGTAGAGGTATGTTTTTCAGATTGGAGGCCTGTGACCAGCGGTGTTCCACAGAGAACAGTGCTGCATACACTTTCGTTTGTCATTTATGTAAATGATTTGGATGAGAATATAGAGGCATGGTTAGTAAGTTTGTAAATGATATTAAAATTGGGTGGTATAGTGGACAGTGAAGGAAGTCATCTAACATTATGAAGAGATCTTGATCAATTGGATCAATGGGAAGAGTGGCAGATGGAGTTTAAATTGAATAAATGTGAGATATTTTGCATATTGGTAAAACAAGCAAGGGCAGGACTTATACAATTAAAAGTAGGGCCTTGTGTAGTATTGTAGAACAGGAAGACCTAGGTGTTCAGGTACATAATTCTTTGAAGTTTGTGTTACATATAGACAGGGTAGTTAAGAAGGTGTTTAGCATACTTGCGTTTATTGCTCAGACCTTTGAGTATAGAGTTGGGATGTTATGTTGAGGCTGTAGAAGACATTGAGGCCTCTTCTGGAGTACTGTGTCTGGTTCTGGTCACCCTGTTGTAGGAAGGATATTTTTAAGCTGGAGAGGGTTCAGAAGAGATTTATCAGCATGTTGCCAGGAATAGAGGGTTTGAGTTATAAGGAGAAGCTGGATAGACTGGGACTTTTTTTTCACTGGAGCATAGGAGATTGAGGGGTGACCTTGTAGAAGTTTATAAAATCATAAGGGGTATAGATAAGGTGACTGGCAGGTGTCTTTTCCCTGGGATGGGGAATTTCAATACTTGGAGCCATATTTTTAAAGTGGAAGGAGAAAGATTTAAAGAAGACATGAGGGGATTTTTTTTTAGTGTGTGGAATGAACTTCCAGAAAAAGTGGTGGATACGGCTACAGTTACAACATTTAAAAGACATTTAGATAAATTCATAAATAAGAAAGATTTGGAGGGATGTGCGCCATGCATAGGCAGGTGGGACTAGTTTAGTTTGGGATTATGGTCAGCATGGACTAGTTGGATCGAAGGGTCTGTTTCTGTGCTGTATGACTCTATAACTGCATGAACTCTATAACACCATGGACTTGTATCTTAACTAGCCAATGTGCAGTACGTTAATGAATGCCTTTTGAAAATCCAAATATTTACCTCCATATGTTCTCTTTTACCCATCCTGCTTGTTACCTCCTTAAAGAACTCTAAATTTGTCACATATGATTTCCCCTTCATGAAGCCGTGCTGACTCTGCTTGATTATTGTATGTATTTCTAAATGTTGTGCTATTACACTTCTTAATAATAGATTTTAACAGTTTCCCAATTACCAGTTAAGCTAACTGACCTATAGTTACCTTTTTTTTGTCTCCCTCCCTTTATAAATAAGTATATTACATTACAATTTTCCAATCCTCTGGGACTTTTTCAGAATCTAAAATATTGGAAAATGATTACCAGCGCATCAACTATCTCTGTAGCAACTTCCTTTAAAATCCTACATCCAGGGCACTTATAAATCTTGAGCTCCATTAGTTTTTCTCTAGTGCTATCTATTGTAGCTAGCCCACCGCCCCACTGTCCCTTGATAATTGAGTATTTTTCCCTACTGTGAAGACATGCAAAGTATTTATTCAAAACCGCTGCCATTTCCGGGGTTCCCCATTGTTATTTCCCCAGCCTTATTTTCAAAGGGTCAATGTTTGCTTCAGCTTCTCTTTCTTGTTAATACATTTGAGGAAGCCCTGCTGTCTGCTTTGTGTTTTGTATTTTGCCATTTTGACCTCTGGTTATTTTCTGCTCTTTTTGGGTCAACCTTCATAATCTTTTGGTTTATCACTATATTTTTTGCCACATTGTATGTATGATTTTTCGTTCAATTTATATTTTCCTTAATTTATTTGGTTTATCATGGTCAGTTTATCCACGACCTAGAATCCTTCTTCCCTCACTGGGATATATCTGCACTCTGTATCGTGAGCTAGTTTCTTAAATGTCTGCCAATGTTCCTCAATCATGTTTTCTGCTAAACTCCTTTCGCAGTTCATATCAATTAGATCTGCCTTCATCCTGATGTAATTATCTTTATTTAAGTTGAGCTTGGTTGTTTCTGACATGTATTTCTCACTCTCATTCTACCATATTATGATTAATGTTCCCTAGAGGATCTTCCTTAGATCATTTATTAAACCTACCTCATTACATCTCCCCAGATCCAAAATAGCCTGAGCTTTGGTTGGATCCACAACATGTTGATCTTAAAAAAAAACTCCTGAATAGCCTCTATGAATTCTTTCTCATGGCTACCTTTGCCAGTTTTAGTTTGAATATGAAGATTAAAATCGCCCATGATTAATGTACTGTCCTTTTGACGTGGCCTCATTATCTCATAGTTTATTCGCTATCCTACAGAACAGCCACTGTTAGGGGGCCCATGCACTAATATCATCTTCCTACCCATCCTTTGTTATTTCTTACCTCCACTGTGGCGTCTACATCGTGCAATTCTAGATCATTTCTTACATATCATACTTATTCCATCTCATACTAATAAGGCTACCTGGCTATGGTTCCTTCCTGCCTGTCCTTTTAAAAAGTCACAAACACTAGAATGTTTAATTCTGGCTTTGAGCTCCTTCTAACAGTGTTTCCATAACGGCTATAATATTATATCCATCAATCCCCATTTGTGCTATTATTTCATTTATTTTGTTCGGAGTATTATATACATTTAAGTTGAGAATCATTAATTTTGCCTTTTACTATATTTTAACCCCTCTTACTATATATGCTGTGATGTTTTAATGCTTGTTCACTCTGTCCCTTCCTTTCCCACCCTGGGTGTCATTATCAAAAATGTTACCATCATGCTGCCATACCCCTTTGCTGTGTAAGCCTAGTTCTGGTTAGAAGGGCTTTTTTTGTTGCCACCCCCCACATGCCAGTACAGGTGCTAGTCCTGGTGACTAAACATATTTCTCTCCCAACAATATTTAAGGCACATAATTAACTCTTTGACTTTATTTACCCTGTGCTAGATTTCCTGTGGCTCTGGCAGTAATCTTATTTCATTACCTTGGATTTTCTTTTAATTTAACTTCTAAATGTTTAAAAGCATCTGGCAGAACCTGCTTTCCATCCTATCAACGTCATTTGCTTCTATGTGACCAACAGCAATTGGGTCCCTTCCACCCCCCCCCCCCCCCCCCCCCCCCCACCACCGCGCGCGCCCTCTACAAGTTTCTCTCCAACCTTAAGGAGATTCCTAATACCCTGCACCAGGCAGGCAATTTACTACAGAACACATGCTCACAGGGAACAGCCTCCATCCCCTAATTATAATGTCCACTACTGCGTTCC